CACACACACACACACACACACACACACACACACACACACACACACACACACACACACACACACACACACACACACACACACATAAATAAATAAATAAATAAATAAATACGGACATACAGACACCATCGCAGGGATAGTTAGGGAAGCTTCCTGAGACCTTGAAATGTCGAGGTAAAACCAATAACTTCCCGATTTTTGAAAATTTTCAATTTTCTTAGCGGGAAGTTATAACTTATTATTTTTACTTCATTAAATATGTAAATCAAGTTAAAAAAGTTTGGAAAATCCAAAAGTGCACGCCTCATAATCTCATTTTTTAAAATAAAATTGATTAAAATAAAATATAGAAAGCAAAATAATAAAAAACAGAAAACACTGTTATGGTTTAGTGGCGCCATAACTCCAAGGTGAGGAGAAAAAATACTATAATAAAATGTATAGATAGATATACAAAAAAATCCACAGTCATACATTAGTTTTTTATAAATAATAATTTAACGACAGTGAATTGAACGCTCATATTAACTAAGAAATTCTGTCGTGTATTACTTTAGATAATTAAAAAAAAATTATTCCGGTATGATCATTTTTTAGACCAATTTCTCTGCCACATACACCCATTCATACACGGACGTCCAAAAAAGATTATGTTTAATGTTATTATTTATTATGTTAAACAAAAAAATTGTTATTAAAATATATATTATGTGCCTGAAAAATTATTTGACTCGACATAAGTGTACTCATTTTAACCTGTAAGTGCAATATAAATAACAAAAAATCAATTTCAGTTTCGACAAAACTACTTTTTTCGAAATGTCGAGAGTAGAACACAATCTCAACGCTTCGCTTATGAGGCGTTCAATATATTATTAAGATATAAGAGTTATCGCGAACTTTTCAATTTGTCTTGAATGCATTCTTTACTATCTCTAAAAAAGAAAAAGTACATACGACAGCATGACGCTAGTCAGAATTCATAAGTCGATGTTAACGGTGATATGTGAAGTCAATTAAAATGTTGACAGGGCCGAAAAAAAATTGATACTTTTTATCTTGATAGATTCTCATGTGTCATGATAGACACGATATCCATTGTGAAAACTTGTTTTGCGAATCAAATTATAATTATATCATCAGGTAGGTAAAAAATAAAAATATTGGCTGGTAATAAATATAATATACTATTTACGCGTTTTAGTTAGGTCGCGATGAAATACATCTACGGCTTTAGAATCACAGTGGTACACTTTGATAATTTGCTTGAGAACAATAGGTTATTAATTAAATTCCCAGATAGCAATAAGTAAAGCAATAAGACCCAATACCGGAACAATTTGACAATTATTATTTTATATTTTATCTCGTACTCAATCAAATTAAAAAAACCTCTCTTTATTATAAACCTCAATCTTTTTTTACACAAAATATGAATGAAACTTTCAATATTAAAAATATTGAAAAAAAAATTGTTAATCATGCCAATAGTCTTAGATTTTTGACTTATCAAGGTCTCTTAATGGTTTCGCTAAGAAATCACTTGATGATCTTAAGCTCATAAAAACTAATGGAAATATTTATTCACTAAAATTTTTATTTTCCCGTTAAGAAAATTGAAAATTTTCAAAAATCGGGAAGTTATTGGTTTTACTCCGTTTTTCGAAAATCGATTTTTCATCAGATCTCGACGTTTTGAGGTCCTAGGAAGCTTCCCATAATGTTTTCGCGATGATATCTGTATGTCTGTATGTATGTGTGTGTGTGTGTGTGTGTGTGTGTGTGTGTGTGTGTGTGTGTGTGTGTGTGTGTGTGTGTGTGTGTGTGTGTGTGTGTGTGTGTGTGTGTGTGTGTGTGTATTAGGCTGGTCGTTAAAAATTACTTTTGAACGGCTTGACCGATTTCTAAGCGATTGGCGCCATTCGAAAGGGCTTGACCAAACTTAGATTTTGAATACAGTTAACATGCATTTAATATTTAAAACCAAATTATAAAGGTTATTGGGTGGGTAATCTCTCGGGCGAGACATACGTATAATTTACATCGAGCTTCGGCCGCCTTCGGCGGCCTCGCTTGATGGTTCAATTATACTTCATGTCTCGCCCTTCGAGATTATAGATGTAGATGTTCAGAGTTTTTGTTAAAAATTTTTTATTTTAGTTTTTTTGCTCCATTATGGTAGCATGAGCTTTTCGGCAAAGTTGTCTCCCTGAACCTTAATCGGAAGATTATAGAACCTTGCAAAGACTTGGGATTTTTGCGACCATCCTGCAACCCTCTTTATTTCATCAACGTTGACGCCTCTTTCAGCCGCTTTCGACGTTGATGCGTGACGAGTGCTGTGAGCGGTGTATCGCTCGTCTACTCCCAGCTCATTGAGGCCTTTTTTGATCCAGCGTCCAATCGTGTCACGTGATACCTTGGTGTGTGGTTTTTGGAAAGATATCAGAAGAATGTCTTCCTTTCCTCTCAGGTTTTCGGTTTTGGATATATAATGTTTTACAGCACTTGCTATGCATAGACCCGGTTTTTCTTTAAAGAACGGTAGTTTTAGCAGAGGCTGTTCGGCTCCTGGTCTAGATGTTTTAATGCGCTCTGGAATTTTTATTTCCAAGCCTTTAACAGTTTGCACTATGCTGCTTATTTTTATCTCAGCTAGCGTTTGAATCCGGTGAGCCGTTCCTAGAGCCAGAAGCAGGACCAGCTTCTTAGTTAGCTCTTTCAAACTTAAGGATTCGAGAGGATATAACTCCGCGAGTTTGTCTAGAACTGGATCTACGTCCCAGATGGCGTCATACCTAGGTTTACTAGGTCTTTTCTTGTATATACCTTTCATAAATCTAGTAATGATCTTGGAGTTTGAGATTTCTTCTTGTGAGATTAGAGCTAAGGCTGCTTTCGCAGTATTTATTGTTCCATGACTAGCTCCTTCTTGGAATCTTTTGGTTAAGAAGGTTAAAATTTTAGACGGTGAGACGATAAAAGGATCGGAGTGGAGCTCCTGATTAAATTTCCACCACAATTTGTACGTGCATTCGTACTGTTTCAAGGTTGAGTCTTCTAGTGATGCAATTATGATTTCAGTTGATTCTTCTGGAGATTTCTTGTTTAGTAGTGCCTGCCGGATAATCTGGCGGCCACCAGAGTAAGGTTTTGATTCAGTGGATGTGTTTTGAAGCTGGAAGAAAATAGGAGATTAGTGTTTGGCTGGAAGGTAATCCAACTATTTATTATTAACTTTTTAAAGGCTGGGAACCAATTTTGACTGGGCCATAAAGGAACTATCAGGAATCCTTCCGCTTTATCTAGCTTTATTTTTTGAATTACTTTGGCAATTACTGCGAACTGTGGAAAAGCGTAGAAAAACCACGGCCTCCAGCTAATCGTGAACGCGTCTATCGCGAAAGCTTTCGGATCCCTGTCCCATGCACAGTAATTGATGCATTTGTTATTGAACTCTGACCCGAAGAGGTCTATTTCTGGGATACCAAATATTTTAATTATCTTTTTGTATGCATAATCAGCTAGTCGCCATTCTGTATCACGATTTGACAAGCGTGACAATGAGTCCGCTTCCACATTGTCTTTAGATGCGATGTAGGATGCATAAACCCAGAGATCTCGACGTTCACACCAGTTCCATAGATCTCTCGCTAAGTCGTGTAGACCTTCTGATCTCGTACCACCTAGTTTATTGATGTAAGCTAGCGTGGTTGTGTTATCTACTCTTAGCAATATTTCCGCGGAGTGTAAGTTTTTTGCAAATAATTTTAGAGCTATAAAAGCTGCTTTTAATTCTAAATAATTGATATGTAAAGATTTTTCAGTTTGCGACCATTCTCCGTGGGCTCCCTCGCTGTCGCAGAAAGCGCCCCAACCTGACAGACACGCGTCAGAAAAAATCTCTTTTTGGAATTGAAAACTCCTGATTTTTCTGACTGCTGAAGGCAGTCTATTATACCACCAGTCTAAGTCCTCTGTGACATAGCCTGGGATGTTCATATTTTTGTCATAGTCTAACCCACTAAGGTCGAGAGCCTCTAGCTTGGCCTTCTCTAATAGTTTGCAGTGTAACATGCCATAATCAACACCCGAGCAACTAGCTACTAACATGCCTACTACCTGTGCAAACCTTCTTATTTTGCATGACTTTTTGTTTTTTATGGACTTTACATGAGTCATAAGAGAATTTCTCTTTTCATCCGGAAGTTCAACTATCATCTTCCGAGAGTTTAATATGAAGCCTAGGTATTTACACCGTTGACTAGGAGATAAATTTGATTTTACTCTATTTACTATAAACCCTAGGTTTTCTAGCAGCTCAATTATAATTTGCAAGGATTTATGACATTCCTCTGGGGAATTTTTTAGACATAAAATGTCATCAAGGTAGATGACCGATTAAAACCCCATCGACCTCAAGTAAGTCATAACTGGTTTCATGAGTTTCGTAAATACATATGGGCTCTCACAGAGCCCTAAAGGTAAGCACGTAAATTCATATAACTGGCCCTGGAATCTAAATCTTAAATACTTTCTATTACTTTTGTGTATCGGTATCGCGAAATACGCGTCTTTAATGTCGACCGAACCCATGAACATGAATTGTTCTAGCAACCTGCAGGCAGATCTGAGGTCTTCAAGTTTGAAATGCTCCGTATTAATGAAAAGGTTAAGCTCCTGTAAATTTAATATAAATCTTTTGGAGCCATCTGGTTTTTCTCTCAGGAAATAACTAGAGAGGAACTGATCGACTGTGTCGGAGCACTTTTCGATCGCCCCAATCGTCAAGAGTCTGTCCAACTCTTTCTGAATGTCTGAGGCTTCTTGGGAAGACCAGATTTTTCCCCCCGTGGGATGCGTTTGGTATGGAATTTCTTTAAAATTAATTTTATGACCCGTGATACATTGTCGGATAAATTTATCCGGTGTAATTTGTTCCCAAGCCTTTAAAAAATGTTTCAATCTTCCTACTAACTTTACCTGTTCTTGTTCTCTTCCTAATGGGTTCGTGATCTGTTGGTGCTGCTGCTGTTGTTCGATTGATGACGACGATAGCTCTGATTCGGAGTCTGATTGGGTCTGCTCTGGCTGGAAAGCCTTGCTGGTAGTTTTTGGGCAGCCGACTTGGGAGTCTGAGGTTTGAACTTCTGGCTCGTCACGAACGTCGGCCTGCGGGGTACTGACGAGCCGTTCCAGTTTCCCGAACTGGATGTTAGGCTTTTCTTCTGGGGTTGGACTTTTAAATCGTGGGTCAGTTTGTCCATAGACTTTATTTCTTTAATTTTTTCCCCTAGCTTATCACCAAATAGTTGCGTATCGATTTGTCTTTCCTCTAATGAGGATGCTACCTGTTTTCTCGGTCCTGGTAGGATATACGCGCGTCGGGCGATGGATTGCGAGTGATGGAGCTCGGCTTGGATTCTTGCTGCGTCCCAAATGTTGCCCAGTATTTCCTTTGAGTCGATTTTATCTTTTTCCAGTAGTAGATTAATTACCGGAGCTAGTGCTGACAGACTTGACCCTGCTAGTTTTTGTGTATTGCAGAAATACTTATCTCGCTTTAACGCTGATTCATTTAGGGTGGACGCTATTTCCGAGTTCAGAATTGGAGCCTCTAGCAGACAGGATCCCCCTCGAGGGTATTTTTCAGCAGATTTTCTTTCTCCTCTTTTTTCAGGCCCGATTTTATCCATGCATTCCATCTAACCGCAACATCTGCATGAATTTTTTGACAAGCTTCTCCAGTTTCTGGCGCCTGACCCAATATCTTTATAATATCCTCATCCAGGGTCGCTGACGAGCCAGGCTCCTCGATTTTCTTCTTTGAGCCTTCTATTTCGCCCTGCACTGTGTCTTGTGTCTGTTGTTGTTGCGATGCTTGAATGTTTCTTTCTGGTGTTTTACTTTTACCAGAATTACCAGTTAAATCAATAGGTCCGATTTGAGATTCTGTATCTCGGGTCTCAGGTGTTTCTCCAGTACCCTGATTTTGACCTTGTTGCTGATCAGACAAATCCGTTGAGGCGTCGTCTGTAAAGAATCCAGAAAAAAGGACGCCGGTTAAGAATAAATTGTTTATTATTGTCATTGTTTTTTTTTCAATTATTTATTTATTTATTTATTTATTTATCACCTCTCGTGTGATATATGTATATATGTAAATGGTTCATTGTTTTTTAATATTTTAATTTTTTAATTTTTTAGTCTTAGTCCTGTCTTTCATACAGGCTTGACCGAGAAATCTTTGGGATATGGCTCGTCTCTCGTACGAACTCTCCCATTATTTATTATTTGTAAAAATTTTTTACCTCGTAAACTGTTGTTATTATTTTC